AAAAATCAAGAGAACATTCCAAACTAAAGACCAATTACAGTAAATTCTGGGTCAAACTGATTGTGTAGGTGATGACCTGGAGAAAATTTGATTATGAGAAGAGACAGACAGACAGACGGAGTGCAAATATGTCAAAACTGTAATGTTGGGTAATACAGGTAGAAAACAAATGTTTCTTTTACTTTTCTGTCGACTTCTCTAAAGAGTTGGAATTTTTTTTTAAGCTAAAGGAGAACTAAATGCTCTCCTTCCTACCTGTTGTAGGGTGACTCAAATGAGGGTGCTGGGATAGATGTAGGAAGAGGTCAGAGGGCATCTGTGGGGGAAAAAAGGAGGCTACAGAAAGGAAGGTATGGGTGTGTCGGATAGAAGCAAGAAACATGATCCAGTTTATTGGGGGTAATTTAACAGTGGTGGTTCCAGCAACTTCTGAAACTATACAGCTCACCACAAGAAGGGCTGTCACTTATCCAAGTCAGAGTTCTAACCGAAAAAAACTGGCTCGGAGAGGAAAAGGGATCTTCCTATAAAAAATAAATAAATAAATAAAACAGGTGACAGAGCAGAATCCCCATCCTGCCCCGTGTGGAAGCACAAGCAGTTGGTGTCCTGGGCTGGAGTAGACCACAACTGCCATTCCTCCCTTCTGGAGCCCCAGAAGACCTTACTCTAGACTTCAGACCATCTTCTGTGTTCTACAAACATCTTGTAAATACCTTTTGCCCTACACACAATTCTAGGATGTAACAGAGAACAAGACTGCTCCTAACGACTTATCTTCTAGTAAAGAAAAGAAAGAATAAGAAATAAGGAAGTCAGTAGAAGACAGGGATACTGAGACAGGAGGCTCCTTCAAAGAGGATTTGGAGTTGGATATCTCTGTGCTTTGAGTTGGATATCTAAGCAATTTAAAGAGTCAGAGCTGGGGAAATGGTGGCTCAGAAGACCCAGGTCAGATTCCTAGATGCCACATGAGGCAGCTCACAACTGCCTGTAACTCTAGCTCTAGAGAGTTGCAAGCCCTCTGGCCTCTGCAGGCACCTGCACTGATGTGCACATACCCAAACACATACACACAACTAAATAAATAAATAAATACAGAAATAAACAGGTTTGAAGTGTATCCTAAACTGGGGTAACAGGAAGTTCAAGGGCCCTGGTGCAGTCATGAGCTGGAAGTGACAAACAGACATGGAGGCAGTGGAGATGTCCTTCTCAGCCTTAATGCAGCGGGGAGGGGCTTGGTCCTGCCTCAACTTAATGTGCCAGGCTTTGTTGACTCCCCATGGGAGGCCTTACCCTTTGGGAGAAGTGGATGGGGGATGGGCTGGGGGAGGAGTAAGAGGAGAGGTGGGAGGGAGCATTGTGTTTGGAATGTAAAATAGAGAGAGAAAGAGAGAGAGACTCCTTTGGTGAGATATTCACCCCCACTCCCGTTCTTCCCACTGCCTGCTTCCCTCTGCCCATCTCTGCACCCACAGACCTGCATATTCTAATTTAAAGCAATTCCTGGAAGGCATAGTAAAATGATAAATAAACCAAACAACCATTCTTTTATATCGCTTCATTTGCCATATACTTGTATTATCTTGTACATCACTGAGTGTTTATCTTTGTGAGTTTGGTGAAGTGTTTATGTCCTCTTTAAATTCCTTGAATTCTTTGATAAAATTTTATGACAGTTTTTTAAAAAATACCTGTATTCAAAATTCCTGTGTCCCTAGGCAGTTCTCATCTGGGAACACTTCAATAGGATTAGTGGGTTAAGGGAAGACATGCTGTCTTGGTCATTTGTGATGGTTTTGTTTGGGGATGTGGCCTGGGCTGGAGGACTTTCTTTGGCTGTGTTTGTGTGTTTGTAGCTAAAGTAGAGTGGCAGTCAGCCTCTGGATTTCTTTCCCCGGTTTTGCTACAAATATTCCAGAAGAGTTCAGAAACAGACAGTCCAGGGGTGCCACCAGTGCCGTCTGTCTCTGTCTGGCCAGGGCCTGAAGATGGACACCATGGCCCCCAGCTCCTAAGGGCTCAGGACAGTGACTCTGGGGAGCTGGCTTGCCCCTATTTAGGAGAGGAATTAGTCAACCTTCAGGAAAATGTTATTGCAAGTCACTTAAACAATGCACATTCCTGGAAAATATTGGCACAGATTTTGAGGAACACTTGTTGTTGAGGAGAGAGTTTACAAAGACAGGAAAATACCACTTTATCAATTTGCCATACCTTGAGAATGTATATTCCTACTACTCCTACTACACCAATCACACATACCCAAGCTTCCAATATTTTCAATATTTTTTGAGTTTTACATCATACTAGGTTGACCTAATTCATGTTACCAAATAGCAGGAACAAAAGAGACAATCTCTGTTCAGATATTCTGCATTGAAAGAAATGAGTAGTTCCTAATTTTAAGATTAAATTAAAAACACATAAAAAAAAAAAAAAAAACTCCAAGAGGGGGGCTGGAGAGATGGCTCAGAGGTTAAGAACACTGACTGCTCTTCCAGAGGTCCTGAGTTCAATTCCCAGCAACCACGTGATGGCTCACAATCATCTGTAATGAGATCTGGTGCCCTCTTCCGGCCTGCAGGCCTACATGCAAGCAGAACATTGTATACATAATAAATTTAAAAAAAAAAAAAAAAAAAACAGAGAGAGGGAGACCTTGTTTCAAAAAAAAAAAAAAAAAAAAACTGCAAGAGGAGATATGCATGGGGCTTTAGTCATCTTGTGAAACTCTGAACCTTTATCATCACTGTCCCAGGGCTTCATGAAATCACCAACAGAGCTTTCTACATGTTTCTTATGTCTGTTAGCTTGCTTATCTAGTGCATTTGCCTTCTTTTTTTTCCTAAGAACTTTCTTGTTATTGAATCTATATTGCCTAGAGTTCCTCCATTCCCCTGGGATTATACCCAGGGCATCTTGAATTGCTGGTAAAGTTATTCTAGCAGTGACTTATACACCCAGCCCCAGCTCTTGTGTGCTGGAAGCTCAACTATGATAGAGAAGATAATTTGTCTCTAGAGCAACATGGTAAGGAACAGCAGAGGCCTTTCCTGGAGTCAAACACACCTGATTTCCAGTCTTGAGTCTGTCAATTTCTAAGTTAAAATTAGTGAAAAAAAAGAGAGCACAAATTTGAAAAAAAAAAAAAAAAAGGATGGAAGGGTATATGGGAAGGTTTGGAAGGAGGAAAAAAGAGGAAGAAAAGGTGTGATTATATTATTAAACTGAAAAATAAAAGAAAGGGGAGAAGAAGTTGGCTGGAGAGAGGTCTCAACAGGTAAAGGCACTTGCTGCCGAGCTTGTGACCTCAGTTCAGTGCCCAAGACTTAGGTGGTAGAAGGAACTGACTCTTCTAACCTCCCCCCACCACCACATACGCACTCTCTCTCTCTCTCTCTCTCTCTCTCTCTCTCTCTCTCTCTCTCTCTCTCTCTCTCACACACACACACACACACACACACACACACACACACCCTAATGCAATAAAATTTTGTTCTGTGTGTATGTGAGAGGGGGATGTAATTTCACCTTGTTTAGCCCTGATGCTCACATCTGTAAACTGAAATAATAGTGCCCTTTTCCCTCTCAGAGTAGTTGTAAACGTTACATGAGAAGATATGGGAAAGTGTTTATCCTGATGACTGGTGTACACAGTTTTAAACCAAGAGTCACCAGTATCATACATATGTCATACTATGAAGCCCAAAAGGATCTTTGCTGAGCACATAATATCTACAAGGAGAAAAGAAAATTTTAGGGGAACCTAGGAGGCAACAACCTTGACTTATTTAAGATTTACCTTTATTTTTAGTTCTGTGTATATGTATGTGTGTGCCACATATGTACTGGTGCCCAGAAAAGGGTGTCAGATCCCCTAAAACTGGAGTCCCATGTAATTGTGAGCCAGCCAACATGAGTTAGAAACTCATTCAAGGCCACTGGAAGAGCAGCAAGTGCTCTTAACCTCTGATCCATCTCTCCAGTCCTACACTCAACTTATTAGGCCTTTATTTTCCCTTGTCATCTCAAGATTTATGGCCAGTGGGGTTGCTATGGAGCTCAGTGGCATTATCCTACACCAAAGGAGCCTCACTGGGGTGGAAAGGGGGAAAGTGTCAGTCCCAGGGCCTCTCTGGAAGCTCTACTTCTCTCATGGAATTCCTCAGTTCCTTTGCCACCTAACCACCCACCCCTTCCCTTGGTCATGATGGCTTTGGAGAATCACCTAGTGATGAGAAATTTTCTCGACTAACCTCCACCTGAGTGGGGTCCCTGGTGGTTAAACACCCTCTTCAACTCCCTCTCCTACAAGAAGTGTTTTCCTGTTTCCCTGGGTGTCTCTCCTGCACTAACTTGCAGTGCTTACTGCCTTGCTCAGCTACCAGCTGCGTGTCACTGCATCCGGTGAACTGTAAAGTGTCTGGGAGCAAAGTCTGGCTTCCTGTTTGGACAATACCAGGAGCACCTGTGATCCTAGGTAATGGGCCTGCTGAACTGCCTTTCCACTGAGACTGGTCCGGAGGCTCAGCTCGGTCTACTTGCAGAACCCCTCCTCTGAGCAACTGATCTGAAGTTGTTTAAGACTCACTCTGTGTGTGTGTGTGTGTGTGTGTGTGTGTGTGTGTGTGTAAGAGAGAGAGAGAGAGAGAGAGAGAGAGAGAGAATACCATCAATATACATTGTATGAAATGCTCAAAGAATAAAAAAATATATTTTAAAAAAGAATCAGTGAAGGAAATTATCAGAAATAGATTTCAAAACGCTGGCAGGTTTGGGGCTGGGGTGGGGGAGTTTTGTTTAGAAAACAAAGATTTTGAAGAGGGCAACATCAACCTTTCCCTCTCCATAATTTAATTTTTTTCTCACCACTCAGTTATTACCCAGGAACAGGGTAGAAATTCAGTACTGTAACAATGCAACAGCTGGGGACCATTTGAAAGAATCCTGACTGTATAAGCAGACAGTTATTACTCTGGTGGTCATATAAAATTAGTAAACATTTATCCAGTTCGAAACATGACTTTCAAATCATCCAACACGTTAACCTTTTCAAAAAATAAATTCTTCCATCTCAATGACCATTACCCCATAGTTTTCTATAAAGTTCCTTCTTTAGCTGGACGGGGTGAAATCAACCTCCGGAAAAGTTTAGTAACTCAGTAACTCACTTTTTCACTGTACATGGGAAATAAAACAGAATTCCCATTTCCACGACATCATTGTCTTTCTGAGGCTGAGACGGCCCCGCAGCCTCATTTCTGCTTGAAGAATGCTAAAGTGTCTCTTGTCTTCAGGTGGCTTTTCACAAACTCGGTTAATTTCCTGAAGCCGGCATCCAGCCCTTCTCCGGTGACTGCAGAACAGGGCTGCACGTACCAGTTTCGGTTGCTGCACAGCTTCTTCACCTTGAACATCCTGGTGATGTCCTCTGCGCTCAGAGCGCCGGGCAAGTCTTGTTTGTTGGCTAATATGACGACCGGCGCGTTTTTTATGTGTTCATTCTTCAAAATGTGCTTGAACTCTCTGCGGGAGTCCTCGAGTCGCCGCTTGTCGTCAGAACAGTCCACCACGTACACTAGCCCGTCTGCGTTCTCACAGTAGCAGTCCCAGACAGTTCGCATCTTTTCCTGTCCTCCAACATCCCACACGGTGAGCGGAAGACCGCTGGGAAGCTGGACCATTTCCACGTTGAAGCCGATGGTTGGGATGGTAGTGAAAGTCTCAGCAAGCTTTAACCTGTACAGCAGGGTAGATTTCCCAGCCGAGTCAAGTCCCAGAAGAAGAATGTGGGCTTGCTTGCCTGTGGGATTTTTGGAGCTCTGCAATCCCATTTTGGGCCTTTTCTTCCTTAAAGATCTTCTTTTCTGGCCAGAGACAATGGGTCGGTCCTTCCCAGGTCTTTCATGGAAATGTTTAGGAAGAAAGAGTAAGTGCCACAGTTGTAGCCTGAGAACAGGTGCCTGCCTTCATTTATATTATCGACCTGATTACAGGCAAACAGGGTTTTATTTGCAGTTCCAGCCAATCCTGAAGAATCTGTGGGAGTAACCAGCAGGTATCACAGTGGCTCAAAGGGGACATTCTTCCGGAGTGAGTAGGATTAGGAGTGGCCTGCTGCTGCAGCTTTAGTCTCTCGGGTGCATAAGTTTAGAGGAAATCAAAGACAGACTTTCACCGCCAGTGCAGGGCGAACAAGACATTTTGTGTTAGCCAGCGTTAACTGAACTTTGTAGAGCTATCTTATTCAGCTGTAAATAAGTACCGGGGCTGTCTAAACGTCTGGAGAGTTTATCTCCCGTATCTACACGCTGCTTCCTCTTACCAGTAGGAAACTTTGAGCCCTCCAACCTTCGTCTCCTAAGCAGAGCATCACTTCTTGACTCTTCCAGGCAGGGAATTTACACTATTCACAAAACCAAGTTTGACCCGGGAAAATTTTTTACTCATACACTTTTCAATAAAGCAGACTGACTGAAGCTGGCAAACTGAGTACAAGTATTTATCTCCTCTCGTTCCCAGCACTTCACCAGAGTGATGGTAAAGGGAAAAGGGAGCATGCAAAGTCATTAGAGTCCATCGGAGGGCAGGATTTTTTTTTTTTCTGCAGATTTTTTTTTTTAATTAGAAACAAGATTGTTTTACATGACAATCCCCGTTCCTTCTCCCTCCCGTCCTCCCCTACCATCCCCCCCAACTAAAACCCTACCTATCACATATCCTTTCTGCTCCCCCTGGATGGTGAGGCCTTCCATAGGGTGTCATCAGAGTCTATCGTATCCTTTGGGATAGGGCCTAGGCCCTGCCCCGTGTGTCTTGGCTCAGGGAGTATCCCTCTATGTGGAATGGGCTCCGGAGGGCAGGATTTTAACAGTGATTCCGGAAAATAGAAAATGGCGGAAGATGAGAGATAACTGGCCCAGTGGGGTAGAGCTGAGGCTTGGGGGTTGTTGCACTGGAGAAAGGCATCAGGAAGAGAAAAATAAAATACTCCTAAAGCAATAAACTGGTAAGATAAAAAAGGAACTTAGAAAACAAAGACCAATTCCCGAAAACTTATTTTGAAGAGTAGATATTTTAAAGCCAGTTGGTGGTGGCTCATGCCTTTATTCCAGCACCCGGGAGGCAGAGACAGGTGGATCTCCGAGTTTGAGGCCAGCCTGCTCTACAGAGCAAGTTCCAGGACAGCCAAGGCTACACAGAGAAACCCTGTCTCGGGAAAAAGAAAAGAAAAAGATATGTTAGAAACTGTATCATAGGTTAAAGGCAAACATTAAAGGAATGTCACTGAGAGCAGAAAGTGAAGAAGAAAACAGGGTGAGGATCAGCCTCAGTCACAGTCCAGGACAGTTCTGAGCCTTATTCCTCAGAAGATAGAAGCACGCCAGGAGAACACTGTCAAGTAAACAATATACAAGTGTTTCCCAGTGCTAAAGAATGAACTCTGGGCTGGGTTGCTCAGTGGGGGACTTCATTTGCCACACAAGTCTCTGTGAAAATAAACAATGAAATCTCTAGATGGAAAGAGGCCCCTCAATGCTTAAAGATACAATTTTTACGAAAGAACTTTCTTGAAGCCTATGGTATACATGTTTTACTTTTACTAAAAATTAAAAAAAAAGAAAAAGGAAAAATTTTTGAGATACACTACGGTGTGCACACAAAATACACATGTAAAGAAATGAGAACCTGGAGAGATGGCCCAGAAGTTAAGAATACTTGCTGCTCTTGCAAAGGAATAGTTTGGTTCTTACCACATCTTTGGACAGCTCACAAACTGCCAATAACTCCAGCTACAGAGACCTACTACCTTCCTCTGGCTTCCCCCAGCATGCATGCCCATGACATACACATTCACATAAATAAAAATACAAAGAAAATAAAGTTATGTAAGTAGTTTTACAATTTAAATTTTTAACCAACTCACTATGTCTCAGCAATGAAGGATACTGTAGCCATCTGTTCAACAGATAGATGTAAAGGCAGAATATGTGATTGAGAGATAGAATGCCTGCTCTGTGAACCACCCTTTGCTAGATGCCAGCCCACAAAGATAAATTAGATCTGCCTTTAAACGCCTTTCATTGGTGGGAAGACAAAGAATGTACAAATAAATGAAAAGCACATAAATGAGAAAATGATACACTCCGTAAGAAAGGCTAAGTATCTGGATCTTCAGAGATTGTTTCGGGGTGGAAGAGAATGGTAGGGTGAATTTCAAACATGGAAAAACATGGAATAGAGATAGAAAAACAACAGGTTGTTCACAGGTTGTTGTTGCTGTTTGTATAAACCTGTAAGTGTCCCAAGAAAACCAGCTAAATCTAACCTGTTGTGCATGAAATAAGACAGGTCCAGACTCTTCAGTTATGTTCAAGTCACGACAGAAGTAGAAGTAAGTAGAAGAAAAGGAAGAGGGGAGAACATTAAAAGTGCAACGTGTGGTGTGATCCTCTAAAAGATACTCTACAAAAAAAAAAAAAAAATACCGCTTAAAAAAAAAAATCAATGAAACAACACCAGCAAGGCAGGTGGATCTCCGTTAGTTTGAGGCCAGTCTAGTCTACATAGCAAGTTCCTAGGCCAGCTAGAGAGACACAGTGAGACTCATTTCAAAAAGAGGAAAAATAAGTAAACAAATTAAATAAGTTAGTAGGTGTAAGTATTGGGGAAGTTGTGGAATATTTGTTACATTGGCTGGGACTGAGGATATATGTCTCAGTGGGTAATGTGTTTGATGTACAAGCTCTAAGGTCTGCTAGAAACCCTGACTAAGACACCATCCTCCCAATAAAGTTAAACAAGGGGAAAATACAGCACAAGACAGGCAGTCTGAAGGCTATGGTTGGAACCTGAGAGGGGCCATAGCAACTTTACCCTGATGAAGGATTTATATCAGAACAGTGGTTCAGGCATCTTTGGCCCCAACAATATGTGAAGTCTGACTAGCCAGCAAGCAGCAGGGGGCCAACAAAAACAACAAAGCAGGGCTCTGTAACCCAGACCACCATTAACCTAACTGGTTCCCTTTCAACTTCACTGAAAAAAAGCAGTGGGCGAAGGTCTCCTTTGCTTTAGAGCTCTTCATCTCTATAATCCAAGTTAACTCTGGTGAGCACTGGCTATTTGCTATTTTCCAAATAGGTAACGGTCCATCCCTTAAGAAGTAACTGAAGGTTGTACTATATTTTTGTAATCTTTAAAAATGGGGCTGGAAGGGGGAGGAGCTTAGTCTTGCCTCAACTTGCTAAGTCATGCTTTGTTGATTCCCAAGGGAGACCTTACCCCATCTGAATGCAGATGGAGGAGTGGGGGGGGGGGGAAAAGGGGCACGGGGGAGGGGGGGGGGGGGGGGGGGGGGTAAAAGGGCAATGGGAAGAGGAAGGAGGGATGGGGTTGGTATGTAAAATAAATTTTTTAAATGATGAATATACAGAAGGGGTGTGGAGAGACGGTTCAGCTGTTAAGAGTGCCTGCTGCTCTTCTAATACCCACTGTGAGTGGCTACAACTGCCGGTAATTCCAGCTGTAAAAGATCTGACCTCCTCTTCTGGTGTCTGTAAGTGCTTGTATACTCATGGCACACACACACATACACAAAAAAGAACAACTATTTAAAACATTTAAAATGTACTTTATATGTAGTTTCGTTCTTTTTGATGAGAATTTTTTTATCTTTAAATCATCTAAACCTTTAAAACTCGGTGTGATTACTAACTGCACTCTTGTCTATTTTTCCTCTTTTAGTTCAGGTGCACATATAATTTACATGCTTTCTTGCATGTCCATCACACTTATATTAAAGTTGGACATGGTGGTATACACCTATTGAAGGGACCAGCCCCCCATTTCGGCAGCCATGACAGTAACACATGCTCGCTATGACTTTGTCTTAATCACTGGAGGTCAGATGCCTGCCTCCTGACAAGGAACCAATCAGAAGCTAGCTGGTGGCGCTATGCTTTACGACCCTGGATGTACTTTATGGACAATCGCACAGCAATGACGCACAGAGCATAGCAACCACCCTGGGAGGGCCTATGGGCCATAACCATGACAGTAACACATGCTCGCTATGACTTTGTCTTAATCACTGGAGGTCAGATGCCTGCCTCCTGACAAGGAACCAATCAGAAGCTAGCTGGTGGCGCTATGCTTTACGACCCTGGATGTACTTTATGGACAATCGCACAGCAATGACGCACAGAGCATAGCAACCACCCTGGGAGGGCCTATGGGCCATAACAACAGTTGGCCAATCAACACAGGACAAGCACTCCAAGTATGGAGGCACACCAATCATGAGCCTTTGCGTACCCCTAGACACTCCCCTTACACTGCCCTATAAGATCTCTCTCTGCGAGCTGTCTTTTGCGAGCCATCCGCCATGGTGGGTAGGTGAAAGACCCGAGCTAACATGGGGTTAGCTGGTTAAATTACAATAAAGCCTCATGCAGTTTGCAGCAAGCTCTCGAATCTGCCTGGTGATTGGGGTGACCGTGGTCGTGGCCTGGGACCCCAGATACCTGAGTTTTCCGGGGGTCTAACACTATAATCCTAGCACCTGGGAGATTGAGTTTAAGGAGCCTGAGCTATATAGCAAGACTATAAAAAAAAAGAAAGAAAGAAAGAAAGAAAGAAAGAAAGAAAGAAAGAAAGGAAGGGAGAAAGAAAGAAAGAAAGAAAGAAAGAAAGAAAGAAAGAAAGAAAGAAAGAAAGCAAATGGACAAAACTCTTGTACTGGATACAAAGTGTTCCTGTACCTAACACAAAATACCGGCAATGTGAATATACTCCAAATAATCTCCACTCTCAAGGAACTAGCTCTAGGGCTGGGCATGAGGAAAGATGAGAACAGGAACGTAAGGAAGCAAAGAAGTTGTGAAAAGGAGGGTAAAAACACACTGTGTCCAGCTGAGAAAATGGGTGACAGATGAGTAAGAACAGAGGAAGCTGCTGGTCCGTGCCGAGCAAACTTGGCCCTCAACTCATCTCTCAGCCCGAACCTGGACAGCTTGGAAAGCTGAAGGCATGCTAAAAATGAGCAGGTGAGGAAATAAGTGTGAACGGAACTGACCTGCAGAAAATGGCTGCATGATCTCACAAGGACGATCACTTGAGACTGGCCTGGCCTGAGAGCAAGCCTGAGTCAGATTCAGGATGAACACTTTGACCAGTGAGCAACTTCTCAAGTGAATCAACTGGCATTGTCTTAGTCTTCTAGAGAAGAGTGGTAAGAGGGCAGCTTGGGATCACAGCGGGTGCTGGGTGGCCTGTCATGG